TTTCCCTAAAGTAGCAGCCTTGAATATTTTTTCCTATCTACAAATTAATTCCTGTTCAGTCTTTAATTATTAAATAAGTGCCTTTTTCTTTCTAATTACAATTCTAAAATAAAAACTGGAAAAGTAATTTAATGTTCAGTTTATTACTTAATGATCTGTAAAAGTAATACTGTAAACTGTAATTTTTATAAAGAAGTACTCACCATTACCACCAAAGATATGGATATCCAATTGTTCACAAAGGTACATTACAAATGTATTCACCTGAGGCAGGAGACCGATGAAAAATACTATTGGGAAACAGAGTGTAAACACTATAGAAGGAAAGAAAAGCAAGTTAAAAACAGTATATCACATCCATCCTTTTGTTCATCTAAGATCATAAAATAAATAATAAAAAGAAACCCAAAATTAATATAAATTACTAAGCTAGTTTCTTAAAGTTGCTTAAAACTACAAACCAAATTTCTTAAAATATACCATTTTAAATTATTTCTCTCTAGATAACTGCCTGAATATTAAATAATCTTTCCAACTATAAACAACAGCTTTTAAAATTAATTCAACTGTTTTCACATAATAGGAACCTGAGATCCAAAGGAAATCTTTCATTCCATCTCCTTCAACAACAGAAGAATTACTATAATATTTGTTCATCATTAGCTTTTTTCATTCCTAACAGCCCTATAGTTTTGTTCCTCACTGAGAGGATGGCAATAAACAGCAAAATAAACCCAGTACAACTATTTTTATCTATATAATTGATCTATTTATCAGTGAATGGTTTGTACACAAATAAATTAACATAAAGATCTAAGATACTTTAAAGATGACTCACCTATAACTAAATCCCTGGCTGATACAAGCACCAGCGGATTGGTGAAAGTTATTCCGTATAATTTGAACTTGGTTGTAGTAAGGTTTCTACTACCATAATCCAAGAGCCAAATAAGACCACAACACAAACAGAAATAAACTGGTCTACTGTAGGCAATGATACGATTATGACCCTGAAAATGATATTAAAAAAGAAGTCAGTTTATTTAATTTGAAGTGTCACAACTAGCTACTGAGATCTTTGATGGCTTATATTCTAAGGATTCAAAATGCTTCCATATGGAGGTCAGGTTTCTGACTGTGGCAGAAGGGAATTACAAATAAGGATAGGAGGAAGAACAGAATAAACCCCATGATAATTGAATGAAATTAAGTATCAGTATGAACTCAGTATTTTTAATATGCATATAAATAGATAGGTATAAGAATAAATGTGTGTATATACATGTATGTGTGTATCTTAAGTGTATACATGTATTTTTCTAGCTTTATCCACTGAGAGGACCTAGAAGCAATGACATTCTAGTAATAAAGATTACTAGCATCCAGCTCTTAGTTTATAAATAACATTATCCACTAAAAAGAACTAAGGATCCACAGAGAAATGGCTGGTTTCAGGCTAGGGTCGGGAAAGTATAAGATGAGCTTGGAACAAATAATTGTGCCCAAAAGGAAGAAAGTACTTTTAAAATGATGAAGGAATGTCAAAAGGACACAGAAGGCAGCTTGATGGGCTCCCAATGGCCAAATCAGGAACAATTTGAGCATCAAAATAATGATAGTAACATTACTGTCCATTTAATAAAACAAGAATCCATGAATCCACACCAATATAAACAAAAAGGGAAAGTTCTTACAGTAAAAAGTCAACTTATAAATGTAGAAGGTCTGATGGAGCTAAAAAAAATCACTATTTGGCAACCATCAAATGATAACTGATTCAGGCAAGAAACATCAATAGATACTAAAAACAACTGGGCAGAGGTTTGCAGGGCAACAGGACACATACACAATCTCAAAGTATCTCCTATGATATACTTATTAACTACAAGAGAAAAATGGTAACATTACTGTAGAGTATTGGTTCTCAAGGGAGTGGGAGGGGATTCTGCCCCCCAGGGAACATATGGCAATGTCTGAAGACTTTGTGGTTGTCACAGTTGGGGTGAGGGTGCTATTGGCATCTAATGGGTAGAAGTCAGATAAAATGCTAAACAGCCTACAATGCACAGGACAGATCCTCCCCACCCCCAACTTTCAACAAAGAATTATCCAGCCCAAAATGTTAACATTGCAGTGTTTCAAAAACACTGCATACACTAACTACCCTTAGCCAAAAAATCAAAGTTAACATCACCAGTAAAAGCGTAAATTGACATTATGTGCTTCTGGATATGATGAGTTACGAAGAGCACAGCATTTCTGTAATATTCCTACCAAAAAAGCACAGCCTGTACCTAATAAAGAAGAAATATCAGACAAAGTCACATTGAAGGTCATCTGTCTACAAAATTACTGGCCTGTACCCATTAAAAATGTCAATATTGTGTGAGACAAATACTGAGGAACTGCTCTAGATTAAAGGAGGCTAAAAAGAACAAATGCACTATCAGGGACCACCTATTGCCAGTGAGAAAATAATAACATAAATCTTAGTTCAGTCTGACATATGACCAAAAAAAGGCTTTGAGGAATGTTAAGGAAACACAAGTTACAGGTGTATTAGAGTGACTTACATGTCTGGGAGAGGAAGAATCTGGTTGAACACTCTAAAAAAGAAAGACAGATTATACTACTGAAGACCTGGTAATTTTACATTAACTTCCAAAATGCCTGAAATAATTTCAAGTAAATATCCCATAGCTAAGAAATGACCTACATTAATTCTGTTGAAACATCAACAGAAGACAAAACATCAGCTCCAGATACTGATGTCACTGATATTAAAACATCTCAAATCTTTCCTCACTCTTGATACTTACTATGATTAATTAATAATCTGCATCTAGCTTAATGTTTCTGAAGTGGCATATAGCAGATAGATCTGTCCTACTACTTGGCTCATTACAACACCTAAGTACAGTTAAGGTAGAATGCTTTCTCACGGCAACATCACTCCATTCAGGAAATGCACAAAATATGGGTTAGCTTAAAAGAAGGATTCCAGTTCTGCCCACAAATTCCAAACTTACTAAACAATTCAATGGTAGTTGTGTTAAATATATTCTCTGCATTTTCACATCAAACTCATCAAATTAGTTAAGCTGTATCCTTCTAAGAGACTTTAACAACTTTCCATAAAAATGTTCAAAATGTATAGTGCAGCTACCTCCCAAATCATGACTTTTCTCCAAAGTTGCTGTTTATTTTCAATAGCATACCAAACAGTTTCACTAGGATGGTCTATCACCATCCTACAATTCTACACTGGACTAAACTCACTGAGCTTGGCATGTGGCCCGTGGCTGGATCGGAGACCAGACAATCTTTTCACTCTTTCAATTCGAACATCTATCCTCCTAAAGCTCTGTTCCCGCCTTTCTTATTTCTGTTTATGATATTACTATTCTTCTAATCAACTAGATTTTAAAAATCTGAAATAGTTTAAAAAATCTCAGTCATCCTTTGCCTTTTCCATATCTAACCATATTAAGCAGTGGACAAAATTAACAGGATATGGGACAGTGGATCCAGGGAATGAATTTAAATGGCTTAGGGCAATAAAGGGATGGATTAAGGGGAACTGAAATGAAAAGCAAGAAGAAAGGCCAGAAATTGTAACACAGAGTCACCAAATTTAATCAGAGGTACTTAGTCACTGTCATTAGAGGTAAAGAAGGAAGAGCAGAGGCTCTAAGATCTGGGTTGGTATACAACTATCAAAAGCAAAGGAACTGGAGCAGAGTCAAGATGGCGTACTAGGAGGAAGCGGAATTCTTGTCTCCTCACAACTGGGCACCTACCAGGCACCTGTGGGGGGGGCACCTAAGGGGACGGAAGGAACCCCAAGTGACTGGGTAGGACGTGGCACATGGGAGGAGTGAAGGGGGAGAAGTAGAGGTAGGGCGGGGCTGGCACCCCTGAGGGGTGGCTGGGGGAGGGGAAGGGATCCCAGGCCCAAAGGGGGAAACTGGGGAACCATTGGGAGGGCAGAGGATCCAAAGGGAGCATGGCCAGCTTTCCCCTGCCCACTTGGACCCCCAGAAACCTGTTGAGATGCCGAGCCTGATCCTCTGACCACCTAGGCCCCCTCCAGCCATGCGGGTCCTGAGGGAGTGGGAGGGAGGGAAGGGGGAGCAAAAGTAAAGGCCAGACCTCTGGGACTGGCACCCCTGAGGGGTGGCTGGGGGAGGGAAGGAATTCCTACACCCAGCAGGACACACCCACAGTTAGGGGTCCAGCAGCAATGGGGGAGACCCTGGGAGAGATGGTGGGGGAGGTGCACGAAGGAACAGAAGGGAACGGGGCCAGTGCTTTCCCTGTCCACTTAGGCACTGGGAAGCCTGTTGGGCTCCAGGACCTAATCCTCTGCCCTCAGAGCCTCCCACCTGCCATTCAGAGCCCAAGCCCTGCCCCTACACCCCCACCCAGGGCCCCAACTCTACACTCAGAGACCCCCTCCAATGAGCTGGGCCTAAATCCCACCCACACACCTTCACTCAGGGCCCTACCTCCAAACTCCGGAACTCCACTCTCCAGAGGCAGTCCTTTCCACATGCTGCCTCCCCCCTTCTGCCAGGTGCTAAGCACCGGCCCCGCCCCACACTTGAATGTCACCCTGCCTAGGCCCTGCCCCACGCTCAAACATCACCCCCCCGCAACCGCCTATGTCCCACCCCACCCTAAACCCAACCCCTGCCTAAGTTCCACCCCCCAACTAAACTCCACCCCCATAGACAAGGCTTTTTTTTTTTCTTTTCTTTTTTCCTCTTTTAGATTAGGGTTCTGTTTTAAATTGTTGATTCATTGTTGTTGACTTTTTAATTTTTCCTAATAAATCTTTTATTTTCCTGATTTTATTTTATTCTTTATCCTTTGTTAGTGATCTCTCCTTTTCGCTTGTGCCCTCCGCCCTTTTTTTTCTGCTGTGGTTTTATTTTACCCTGTTGCAGTTGTTTCAATAATACTTTTATTTTTCCTAATATATTTTTTAACTTTCTAATTTTATTTTGCTTTTTATTCTTTGATACTGTACTGCTCCTTTTTTTTCTTTCTTTCTTCCAGTTTTTTATCTCTCTCTTTTTTTTTTTTTACCACGCCATGAATTTTGCAGGATCTTGGCTCCCAGGCCAGACGTTGGGCCCAAGCTCTTGTGGTGGGAGCTCTGAGTCCAAACCACACTAACAGAGAACCTCAGACCCCAGGGAGTATCAATCAGAGTGAGGTCTCCCAGAGGTCCTCATCTCAGCACCAAGACGCAGCTCTATCCAACTGCCTGCAAACTCCAGTGCTGGATGTCTCAGGCCAAAAAACCAGTAAGACAGGAATACAGCAGCACCCAACAACAACAAAAAAAAAGCAAAAAATTATGTTACAGATGAAGGAGCAACATAAAAACCTACAAGGCCAAATAAATGAAGATGAAATAGGTAACGTACATGAAAAAGAATTCAGAGTAATGATAGTAAAGATGATCCAAAATCTCGGAAACAGATGGAGAAAATACAAGAAACATTTAACAAGGATTAGAAGAACTAAAGAGCAAACAAACTGTGATGAACAACACAATTACTGAAATTAAAAATACTCTAGAAGGAACCAATAGCCTAATAACTGAGGCAGAAGAAAGCACAAGTGACCTGGAAGATAAAATGGTGGAAATAACTGCCAGGGAGCAGAATAAAGAAAAAAGAAGGAAAAGAATTGAGGACAGCCTCAGAGACCGCTGGGGAAACATTAAACGCACCAATATTCGAATTATAAGGGTCCCAGAAGAAGAAGAGAAAAAGAAAGTGTCTGAGAAAATATGTGAAGAGATTATAGTTGAAAATTTCCATAACATGGGAAAGGAAATAGTCAATGAAGTCCAGGAAACAAGGAGAGTACCATACAGGATAAACCCAAAGAGAAACACGCTGAGACACATATTAATCAAACTATCAAAAATTAAATACAAAGAAATAATATTAAAGCAGCAAGGGAAAAACAACAAAAAACATACAAGGGAATCCCCATAAGGTCAACAGCTGATTTTTCAGCAGAAACTATGCAAGCCAGAAGGAAGTGGCAAGACATATTTAAAGTGATGAGAGGGAAAAACCTACAACCAAGATTACTCTACCCAGGAAGGATCTCATTCAGATTCGATTTGAGAAATTAAAACCTTTACAGGTAAGCAAAAGTTGAGAATTCAGCACCACCAAACCAGCTTTACAACAAATGCTAAAGGAACTTCTCTAGGCAGGAAACACAACAGAAGGAAAAGACATACAAAAACAAACCCAAAACAATTAAGAAAATGATAATAGGAACATACATATTGGTAATTAACTTAAATGTAAATGGATTAAATGCTCCAAACAAAGACATAGGCTGGCTGAATGGATACAAAAACAAGACCCATATATATGCTGTCTACAAGAGACTCACTTCAGACCTAGGGACACATACAGACTGAAAGTGAGGGGATGGAAAAAGATATTCCATGCAAATGGAAATCAAAACAAAGCTGGAGCAGCAATTCCCATTTCAGACAAAACAGACTTTAAAGTAAGGACTATTACAAGAGACAAAGAAGGACACTACATAATGATCAAGGGATCAATCAAAGGAGAAGATATAACAAGTGTAAATACTTAGGCACCCAACATAGGAACACCGACCGCAACACATAATGCAAATGCTAACAGCTATAAAAGGAAAAATCGACAGTAACACAATAATTGGAGGAGACTTTAACACCCCACTTTCACCAATGGCCAGATCATCAAAAATGAAAATAAATAACGAAACACAGGCTTTAAATGACACATTAAACAAGATGGACTTAATTGATATTTATAGGACATTCCATCCAAAAAAACAACAGAATACACTTTCTTCTCAAGTGCTCATGGAACATTCTCCAGGATAGACCATATCTTGGATCACAAATCAAGCCTTGGTAAATTTAAGAAAACTGAAATTATATCAAGTATCTTTTCCAACCACAATGCTATGAGACTAGATATCAATTACAGGAAAAAAACTGTAAAAAACACAAACAGGTGGAGGCTAAACAATACGGTACTAAATAACCAAGAGATCACTGAAGAAATCAAAGAGGAAATCAAAAAATACCTAGAAACAAGTGACAATGAAAACATGATGACCCCAAACCTACGGGATGCAGCAAAAGCAGTTCTAAGAGGAAAGTTTATAACAATACAATCTTACCTCAAGAAACAAGAAACATCTCAAATAAACAACCTAACCTTACACCTGAAGCAATTGGAGAAAGAACAAAAACCCCCCAAATTTAGCAGAAGGAAAGAAATCATAAAGATCAGATGACAAATAAATGGAAAAGAAATGAAGGAAACAATAGCAAAGATCAATAAAACTAAAAGCTGGTTTGTTGAAAAGATAAACAAAACTGATAAACCATTAGCCAAACTCAACAAGAAAAAAAGGCAGAAGACTCAAATCAATAGAATTTGAAATGATATAGGAGACGTAACAACTGACACTGCAGAAATACAAAGGATCATGAGAGATTACTATAACAACTATATGCCAATTAAATGGACAACATGGAAGAAATGGACAAATTCTTAGAAAAGCACAACATTCTGAGACTGAACCAGGAAGAAACAAAAAATATAAGCAGACCAATCAAAAGCACTGAAATTGAAACTGTGATTAAAAATCTTCCAACAAACAAAAGCCCAGGACCAGATGGCTTCACAGGCGAATTCTATCAAACATTTAGAGAAGAGCTAACACCTATCCTTCTCAAATTCTTCCAAAATATAGCAGGGGGAGGAACACTCCCAAACTCATTCTATGAGGCCACCATCACCCTGATACCAAAACCAGACAAAGATGTCACAAAAAAAGAAAACTACAGGCTAATATCTCTGATGAACACAGATACAAAGATCCTCAGCAAAATACTAGCAAACAGAATCCAACAGCACATTAAAAGGACCATACACCATGATCAAGTGGGGTTTTTCCAGGAATGCAAGGATTCTTCAGTATATGCGTATCAATGTGATACACCATATTAACAAATTGAAGGATAAAAACCATATGGTCATCTCAATAGATGCAGAAAAAGCTACTGACAAAATTCAACACCCATTTATGATAAAAACTCTCCAGAAAGTAGGCCTTGAGGGAACCTATCTCAATATAATAAAAGGCCATATATGACAAAACCACAGCCGACAACGTTCTCAATGTTGAAAAACTGAAACCATCTCCTCTAAGGTCAGGAACAAGACAAGGTTGCCCATTCTCACCACTATTATTCAACATAGTTTTGGAAGTCTTAGCCACAGCAATCAGAGAAGAAAAACAAATTAAAGGAATCCAAATTGGAAAAGAAGAAGTAAAAATGTCACTGTTTGCAGATGACATACTACACAAAGAAAATCCTAAAGATGCTACCAGAAAACTCCTAGAGCTAATCAATGAATTTGGTAGAGTAGCAGGATACAAAAGTAATGCACAGAAATCTCTTGCATTACTATACACTAATAATGAAAAATCTGAAAGAGAAATTAAGGAAACACTCCCATTTACCACTGCAATAAAAAGAATAAAATACCTAGGAAAAAACCGACCTAAGGAGGTAAAAGACCTGTACTCAGAAAACTATAAGACACTGATGAAAGAAAGGAAAGACGATTCAAACAGATGGAGAGATATACTATGTTCTTGGATTGGAAGAATCAACATTGTGAAAGTGACTATACTACCCAAAGCAATCTACAGATTCAAAGCAATCCCTATCAAACTACCAATGTCATTTTCACAGGACTAGTACAAAAAATTTCACAATTTATATGGAAACACAAAAGACTCTGAATAGTCGAAATAATCTTGAGAAAGAAAAATGGAGCTGGAGGAATCAGGCTCCCAGACTTCAGACTATACTACAAAGCTACAGTAATCAAGACAGTATGGTACTAGCACAAAAACAGAAATATAGATCAATGGAACAGGATAGAAAGCCCGGAGAGAAACCCACGTACATATGGTCACCTTATCTTTGATAAAGGAGGCAAGAGTATACAATGGAGAAAAGACAGCCTCTTCAGTAAGTGGTGCTGAGAAAACTGGACAGCTACATGTAAAAGAATGAAATTAGAACACTTCCTAACACCATACACAAAAATAAACTCAAAATGGATTAAAGACCTAAATGTAAGGCCAGACACCATAAAACTCTTAGAGGAAAACATAGGCAGAACACTCTATGACATAAATCACAGCAAGATCCTTTTTGACCCACCTCCTCAAGAAATGGAAATAAAAACAAAACTAAACAAATGGGACCTAATGAAACTCCAAAGCTTATGCACAGCAAAGGAAACCATAAACAAGACGAAAAGACAACCTTCAGAATGGGAGAAAATATTTGCAAACGAAGCAACTGCAAAGGATTAATCTCCAAAATATACAAGCAGCTCATGCAGCTCAGTATCAAAAAAACAAACAATCCAATCCAAAAATGGGCAGAAGACCTAAATAGACATTTCTCCAAAGAAGATATACAGATTGCCAACAAACACATGAAAAGATGCTCAACATCACTAATCATTAGAGAAATGCAAATCAAAACTACAATGAGGTTATCACCTCACACTGGTCAGAACGGCCAACATCAAAAAAATCTACAAACAATAAATGCTGGAGAGGGTGTGGAGAAAAGGGAACCCTCCTGCACTGTTGGTGGGAATGTAAATTGATACAGCCACTATGGAGAACAGTATGGAGGTTCCTTAAAAAACTAAAAATGTAACTACCATATGACCCAGCAATCCTACTACTGGGCATATACCCTGAGCAAACCATAATTCAAAAAGAGTCATGTACCACAATGTTCATTGCAGCACTATTTACAATAGCCAGGACATGAAAGCAACCTAAGTGGTCATCAACAGATGAATGGATAAAAAAGATGCGGCACATATATACAATGGAATATTACTCAGCCATAAAAAGAAACGAAATTGAGTTATTTGTAGTGAGGTGGATGGACCTAGAGTCTGTCATACAGAGTGAAGTAAGTCAGAAACAGAAAAACAAATACCATATGCTAACACATATACATGGAATGAAAAAAAAAAAAAAAAAGGTTCTGAGGAACCTAGGGGCAGGACAGGAATAATCACGCAGATGTAGAGAATGGACTTGAGGACACGGGGAGGGGGAAGCGTAAGCTGGGACGAAGTGAGAGAGTGGCATGGACATATATAGACTACCAAACGTAAAACAGATAGCTAGTGGGAAGCAGCTGCATGCCACAGGGAGATCAGCTCGGTGCTTTGCGACCACCTAGAGGGGTGGCATAGGAGGGTGGGAGGGAGACGCACGAGGGAGGGTATGTACGTATGCGTAGAGCTGATTCACTTTGTTATAAAGCAGAAACTAACACAACACTGTAAAGGAATTATACTCCAAAAAAGGTGTTAAAAAAAAGAAAAAGCAAAGGAACTGGGAAAGGAAAATATCAGAAGATGATGATGTGCCATTTTCAGAATGTGCCCAGCTGCCTGTTAGATATATAGGACTAAAGCTTACAAGAAAGGTGAAGACTGTGACATAAATCTGGACATAATTCATATACAGGGGCAACAAAGTAATAAAAGAGGATGACTTCACTGGCAAGGAATTACAAATTGAAAAGAGGGCCAAATAAAACCCTAGAGAGTTCTTGTAAATTAAGAGGTAGTCAAAAGAACAAAGAGGCATCAACAAAGGAAAATAAAGTTACTTGCAAAGTAGCATAATCATGAGGGTAGTATAAAGTAACAGATCGGCAATGAGGAAAACATAAAAATGGAAGAAAGTATTCACAGGTATTTAAATGATGCAGCACTCAACAGAGAATGAAGACTAAGAACACAGATTTGGCTATTAGAGATTATTAGCCCACAAAGACTGTAATTTCAATACTGTAACGAGGAAAAGAGTATGGATGGATCTTGAAGAAATGGAGCAGCTGACAAAGGTGGTTTACTCCAGATGTCTATAAATGGAGAGAGAAAAGAGAAAGGATAGCTGATGGTATAAACAGAACTAAACAAATAGTTTTCAGGATGGGAGAGGGTTCTGCACGTTAGTATGCGTCAGGCAAATAACGAGTACTGGCTAAGAAAGGAAACAAAACAGTCCATGTTACCAGTGCACACTGATGTGGCATGGAAAGTGAAAAATTTGGTATTTGATTCTCCCATTTATGGAAAGCTTAAAATTGATAACATTTGGTATTTTAGAACCACTATTTAAACAAAAGTAAAGGGACACTGATCTTCTGCTCTCTGTGTCCACAAAGAATGTATATGCTAGTTTTGACATTATTCTATCTACCAATGATGGATCTTAATAAATTTCACCTACATAATAGAAGACTTAAAATAAGAGAGTAGGACAGTTTCATTTTCTTTTTATTTATCAAATGAATTTCAAGAACTTGAATTCTTGGGAATTCCCTGGCGGTCCAGTGGTTAGGACCTGACACTTTCATTGCCAGGGTCTGGGTTATAACCCTGGTTGGGGAACTAAGATCCAGCAAGCCATGTGGCATAGCCATTAAAAAAGAAAAGAAAAGAAAAAGAGAGAGAGAAAAAAAGAACTCGAATTCTTATTTTTTTATTTTAATACAAAAAAAGTTTTTAGGAAGCTTCATTCACACGTCATTATTTTTTTAAGTTTATATGTCCCTTTTGTTCCTTTCCCAATCTTAACGTAAACGTCCAAGGAAAATAAATCTAAAAATTATATTCTTACTATAATTCAATGAGTGATACAAAACCTTCTGCTTTTTCACATAACTATGATGCCAAAGTCTGAAGAGAAGGGAGATGCTGGTACCTTAAGTAGTGAATATTGACAGCTGGCTATCACCAGGCAGAACTGGAAGACCCAGATATCTCTGAAGAAGCCTTGTATGAGAAGAATAGATCCCAAAAAAGCCACAAGAATAGCCAAGATGACAGCTAACACATTTTCCAGGATCTCACGATTTCTGTAGACAGAAAAATTTATGAGTAAGTATATCATCATTACAAGAAATTAATCAGAGTGCAAAAAGGGAAGACATCAATATGAAGTTCATACTATGCTTGTTAAGATTTTTTTTTAGTACTGGGTTTGAACAAGGTTTTGGATCATACTGAAAAAGTATGTTCAGTTTAGATGGAAAACTGGCACACATTCTTATGTGCAAATAAAGCATGCTACAGTGGATTGTGAAGTTCTTATTATAATACATAACACAGTTTCAATTTCTACGTTATAACTTTACTTTTCTTATCATCTGCTTCTCTATCAAGTTTGTTGCCAAATAACTGAACACCCTGAATGGCAAATAAAGGAAATATACAAAGAAACAAGTTCGAAAAACAAAATCTCAAAAGTTTCTAGAAAATTAAATTGGAAACATTTATATGACAAAGTTTGTAACCAAATTTTGATACCAAGTGGTTTCATTTCCCATGTCTAAATCATCTGAAATAATCAGAAATCTTACTAAAATTACTTAAACACAGGCTCTTACATACATTGAGAATGAAGGCAGTGACAGACCATCAATGCTGCCTCTATCCAAGTTACTGAGACAATTCTATATTTTACTAAACTGACACTGTAAAAGAAGCAGTACGATGTTCAACATACTACATACAGCAATGAAGATAATTTTTTTTAATTTATTTTATTTTTTGGCCGCACTGCACAGCATATGGGATCTTAGTTCTCCGACCAGAGATCAAACCTGCACGCCCTACACTGGAAGAGTGGAGTCTTAACCACTGGACTGCCAAGGAAGTCCCTGAAGATGACTTTTATAAACCATGCCAAAAAATAAGAATCTATCTTACTTCTTGGGGATATTTTATTCACAAAATGTTAAGTATGTGCTAAAACTCTTGATTTTAAAGAATATTTACTGCCACAGGAACATGCTCAGTACATTTGCTATACAAAGAAAGGAGGACACAAAACTGTATACGAAGATACAAGTTCTATTACTTAAGAAACATACATACACAGGTTTAAAAAGACAATATATCAATTGGTACTACTAATAATGGTTCTCTCTGGGTGGAAGGATTTGGGCTGGCCTCTGTCTTAAAATCTTTCTACATATTTAATAAAGAATTGCTTTCATAATCATAAAAAGATTTTTATTTCTTTATATTACATCAATGCCCAATTTATAATCAATTGACCTAAAAAATAAAATTCACAAACATCTCCGTACTATTTCACTTGATAGTTCTCCCAGATTAAAACAAGTTCAATAGTAATTTCAAATCAATAAATGAAACACTGGTATTTTCATTTGTTCTTATATGGCAGTTGTGGAATTCCAGATTTGCCAAATCCAATGATCCCTGTCAGCCCTGTTACACTATATTCTGTCCATGTCACTTGTCACTGAACACATGCTCTCCCTTCGGCTTTTGTTAGTTTTTAATTTTGATGAATCCAATTAATCAATGTTTTTTCATTGATCTGTTTTTGATGTCACATCTGTGCAATTTTGCCTAATCCAGGGTCACAAATCTTTTCTCCTACGTTTTGCTTTTTTCTGAAGTTTATGTTTTAGATTTCACATTTAGGCCTATGATCCACTCTGAGTTAATTTTTGTAATATGATGCAAGGTAATAATACAAATTCTTTTTCTTTTCTTCTTTTTTTTGGCATATGGAAATCCAATGTTTCTAGCACCACTTGTTGAAAAGCTTATCCTTTCTCCACTTCACTGATTTGGGATATTATTTTGGCACTATCTAGGCCTGGAATTTTCTTTATGGGAAGGTGTTTAACTACAATGCCCATTTATTTAATAGATATAGGAACATTAAGATATTGTATTTCTTTCAGAACTTTGATAATTTTTATCTCTCAAGAAATTTGTCCACTGTCAAATTTATTTACATACAGCTGCTCATAATATTTTATTATCCATTTATTACCTGTAGAATCTGTAGTGATATCCTAGCTCACATTCCTGATATTGGTAATCTGTAACTTTTTTTTTTGTCCTGATCAACCTGGCTAAAGTATATTACTTTAATTGAGCTTTTTGGTTCCCTTGATTTTTCTCTATTGTCTTCTGTGTCCTCACTGATTTCTGCTTTGTTCTTTATGATTTTCTTTCTTCTGCTGTCTTAGGCTTAATGTGATCTTCTTTTTCTAGTTTCCTAAGGGGGAAGGTGAAGTCATTGAATTGACTTTTCTTCTTATTCAGTACTATAAATTCTTCTAAGTACTGTGTTAGCAGCATCACAAAAATTCTGATTGTGTTTCACTTTTATTTAGTTCAAAATATTTTCTAATCTCCCTCTTGATTTGTCCTTTGATCCATGAGTTATTTAGATGTATTTAGCTTTCAAATATTTAGGGATTTTCCAAGGTTCTTTTGTTACTGATTTATAATTAACTCCGTGGTCAAGGAACACACTATATAGAACTCAAATCCTTCTAAATTTGATCCTTATATTATGGCCCAGAATATGGTCTATCTTGGTAAATGTTCTGTGTGCACATAGAAGAATGTGTATTCTGTGGTTATGAGTGGAGTGTTCCATAAATGTCAATCAACTTAGGTCGGCTGACAATTATATCTTTGCTGATTTTCTACATACTTGTTCTATCAATTATTGAGAGAGGTGTGTTGAATTCAACTATAATTGTGAATTTATCCATTTCTCCTATTTCTATCAGCTTTTCCTTCAAAGCACTGTTTGAGATGTAGAAACATTTAGGATGGTTAAATCCTATGCATTAATTGACCATTTATCATTATAAAATGACCTCCTTTTACCTTGGTAATATTCTTTGCTTTGAAATCTACTTTGTCTGACATTAATTCAGCCACTCTAGCTTTACTGTGATTAGTGTTAGCATGGTATATCTTTTCTGTTTTTATATTTAAAGTGCATTTCTTGTAGGCAGCAAAGAATTGAGTCTTGCTTTTTTTTCTCCAATTTGACAATTTCTGACTTTGCCAACTATCATACTGCCATTTATCTTCTGTCAATCTGGTTTTGATCTCTTTCCTTTTCTGCCTTATTTTAGATTAAGAGAGTAATTTTTATGAATCTATTTTATCTCCTTTATTTTTTTAACTTACTAGTTATAACTCTTTCTTTTGTTACTTTAGTAGTTGCTTTAGTATACATTTTATGACAGTCTACTTCAAGTGACATAGTATAAGTATACATACAGTATAAGCAACTTATATTTAATTCATATACAGTATAGTAGTATACTCTTATATGTCCCTTGCTGTCGTTTATGCTATTACTGTCATGAATTTTACTTTTACTTATCTTATAAATCACACATCATCATTATTTTTTTTTTTTTTTTTAACTTGATCAGACTTGCAGAAATCTTTGAGTAATGAAGTTTGGTTATAAAGCAGAGAGATTGAAGGCAGGAAGGTCAGCTAAAGGGCTTATTGCAGTGGTTTGGATGAGGGGTGATGAGAACTAGAAGTAGGACAAAGAAAAGAAGCAGAGAAGAGGCACAGATTTGATATTTAGAAGGTCAACCGCATGTGTAAAGTTTTTTTGTTTTTGTTTTTGTTTTGCCGTATGCGGGCATCTCACTGTTGTGGCCTCTCCCGTTGCGGAGCACAGGCTCCGGACGTGCAGGCTCAGCGGCCATGGCTCACGGGCCCAGCTGCTCCACGGCACGTGGGTTCTTCCTGGACCAGGGCACGAACCCATGTCCCCTGCCATCGGCAGGCGGACTCTCAACCACTGTGCCACCAGGGAAGTCCCGTTATTATTTTTGTTTAAACATCCAATTATGTCTCAAAGAGATTTAATTAGTAAGAAAAATTTTTATGTATTTATTCATGTAGTTACTTACCATTTACAGTCATCCTTTATTTCTTTGGTAGGTCCATATTTCCAGTTGGTATTATTATCCTTCTGCTTGAAAGACATCCTGTAATATATTTTGTAGTGTGGGTCTGCTTGAAAAAAATTCTTTCAGTTTTTCCTAGTCCAAAAATGTCTTTATTTCATCTTGGTTTTTGCAGTTTTGTTGGCTACAGAATTCCAGGTTGAGTTTTTTTCTCCTTTCAATACTTTAAAAATGCTGCTCCATCATCTCCTCATTTGTATTTTTTCCAACAATAAATCTGATGTCTTCTTTATTCTTGTTCCTCTGTACAAACTACATCTTTTTTTCTCTTGCCGCTTTTAAGATTTTGTCACTGGTTTTGAGCAATTATGTGCCTTGGTATATAGTTTTTTTCGTGTTTCTTGTACTTGAGGTTCATGGAGCTTCTTCAATGTGTACATTTGTAGTTTTCATCAAATTTAGAAAGTTTTCCACCATTACTTCCTCAAAATTTTTTCTCTCTTCCTGTCTCCCTTGGTTTACTTTCACTTTGTATATTCTTTTCATGGGGGGATGGGAGTAGGAGAATGATTCTTTTTTCTCTGTTTCATTTTCAATAGTTTCTACTGCCATGCTGTCAGCTTCACTTATATTTTCTTCTGCAATGTCTAATCTACCATTAATCTCATCCATTGTATTTTTCATCTCAGACACTTTAGTTTTCATCTCTAAGTGTGACTTGGGTCTTTTTTTTTCATATCTTCCATATCTCTACTTAATTTTTATTAACACGTGAAGTACACTTATAACTGTTTAATGTCTTTGCTAATTCTACTATCCGTGACAGTTACAGGTTGGTTTCCTTACTTCCCTCATTATAAATCACATTTTGTCATTTCTTTGTATGCCTGGTAGTCTCCGACTGGATGCCAGATATTGTGAATCTTAACTTTTTATGTGGTGAGAATTTCTGGATTTCTATAAATCTTGTTGAGCTTTGTTATGCTACTTGGGAACAGTTTGATCCTTATGACTTGCTAGGTGGGTCTGGAGCAGTGCTCATGCTAGGGCTAATTACTCCCCACTTCTAAGGCAAGACTTTCCTGAGTACCCTACACAATGCATCATAAAGTATTAATTATTATGGTGGGTGGGGATAGGCACTATCCCCAGCCCTGTGTGCCAGGCACTGTCCCTCTGTTTCTTTCACATCATTCTGACCCTGGCTTCCTCATATATATTCTCTTACCAATACCCTGATGAACAGTTGAGGAGACCCACTAAAAGTCTCTGAGGTTCTCTCTCTCAGCAGCAATCCTCTCTCTGATGTTCTACCCTACAGACTTGAGCTGCTCTAGTCTCCCTGGACTCTGAGCTCCATCTCCTCAACTCAGGAAGTCTGCTGGACTCTACTTAAGCACCACAGCCTGGGGACTCTCTTAAGGCAGTAAGGTGGGCTCACATAACTTGCTTCCCATTTCTCAGGAATCACGGTCCTTTTCTGTCTTACTTCCAGTGTCTTGAAAACCACTGTTTCATGCATTTTATCTGTTTTTCATTGTTTCAGGTAGAAGAGTAAACCCAGTCTTTGTTACTCCATGTCAACTAGAAGCAGCAGTTGGTCACCAAGTTCATAATTGACTAATACTGTTTACTATTATACCTTTTACAGTTAGAGTCATATTACGTATAACCTTATGGTCATTAACACCTCAAATTCTCTGGCTTTTAAGTACAGTTGCATGATTCTTAAATGATAAAAACATTTTTTTAAATAAACATATTAAAATTGCCACAAAAAAAGCTTTTAATGGATTCAGGAGAGTCAATGTTTGGGAGCCTTACTAACTTAAATTTTATCTCAAGAGAACCAAAATAGAAAACACCTTCCAACATGGAAACCAAGTCAAATACTCAATGGGTAATTTAATACATTTCAATTTAAAAACAAAATCTGCATATATCTTTAATATCACACTATATTCTCACCTATCAAACAGGGCCAAAAGTGTGAGTCTGTCAAAGTTAATGCCGATCCACAGCTGGGGCAGGATCCAAAAGCGATAATAGTGTTTAACTTTTTGGGCAGCTTCTTCTGTTGGACCATAAGTAGCTGCCAAATCAGGGCTTAGGTCAATGTCTTGTTGCTCCAACAAATCTGTATCGATGGTCAATAGTCTGTTCAATCGAATCTGTGGAAGAGAGAGCTACAAGAAAATCGGCATTGAAAGGCTTAAAATATCTTTAATCAAGTCATGCTTCAAGGGCTATGCAATCAGCTTGCAAATTATCTAAACCTCCTTAATTCTCTACACTAGTCCACTCTTGTGGATATTTTATGATTGTTAGAAACTACAGAAGGTGACAAAAGGAAGTGAACTACAACAAAGGCCTTTTGGAAAGATTTTACTAGGAAGTATTTGAAATTTTAGTATTTTATGATTGTATAGCTAGTCAATCCATTAAAATCACCAACAGGGAATCATTAGTGGCTTCCCTTCTCCCTACCCCTTCTCTTCTCTCATTAAGCTATGAACCTCACTACTGTGTCAAATCTAAGCTCCTCTGCACTGGATTCAATGCCTTCAAATCTCAATTCTTCGTACAGTCTCTTATCACTGTTACTGCTGTTTTCAAATGCCTCCCACACTCCTTTATTCTTGTTTTGGCAGGCTGCTCATCTGAGGCTATACAGGATATTACCACATTACATTTGTTTCAGCTTCAACTCATCCATTCACCAGTTTCCCCTTCCTCTGAAAGAATCCAAAGCTTACTGCATTTAGCATAGCACTAGCCAGCATTTTGCTGTCTCAAGGCTCTCATACCATTTAACAGTGGAAAATACTATGCGATTTTATATAAAGGACTTGGGCAAACATAGATTTTGGTATCTGCACAGGGTCCTGGAACCAATCCCCTGCAGACACCAAGGGATCACTGTAATCATTTCCCCATTTCTGCTTTCCTGTGGAGTTTCCAGGAATACACTGCAGCAGAAGAGTAGGGACAGTCTTTATTTTTCCTACACAGGGGTGGGGTATAGTCAAGAAAATATGTTTCTTATATATAACAGCCATTTCTGTCTCTAAGCATTGACAAATATCTCCCCAAACACTTTTTTTCCCTTATCCTCTATGCCAGGGTTTCTCAATCTTGGCACTACAGGTACTTTCAAGCCAGATAATTCTTTGGGTGGGGGCTACACTTTCCACTGCAGAATGTTTTACAGCATCCCTGGCTTCCACCCACTTGATACCTACAGCATCCCCCTGGTTGTAACAAGCAAAAATATTTCCAGACATTGCCAAATGTTGAAAACTATTGTTCTGTGCCAATTCACATCTATGGTTTTAAAACCCTCCTCACAACTCATCATCTTCAGGAAGCCGCTAATAATTAATCTCTTTGGCACTAAATTTATCTACACGTACCTCGTATCTCTTAAATATTGCTTATAAGGATTTCAACTGCTTTATCTTTTCTAACCTCGATATATATATTTTGATATACATCACACAAAGGCAGTGTTACCTTTTTAAAATATACCCACTGCTTCTCATAGGGCATTTTTTTATACAGTGATAACATCACTAAGCACACACACTGGTATATGAATAACTAATAGTTAACCAACAGTTAGTAGATAAGTACCAAATCAGTTAGCTATGTACCAAAATCATAATGTTCAAAATGAAGTTTTAAAATGGCACAGTTAAAAACGGCACAACCAGATTATGACACTGGTGAGTAAACAGACCTCTATGTACCCTCAAAAGTGTAATTACTGATTCATAAATAGCTAATTAAACATCACGGTGCTTTACGCTTGTTTGTTTCTTAACAAAGGACTTATGAGAAGAGATCCACTACGGGACAGCAAAGGTGATTTTGCCAGTTTTCAACAAAACTGATATTTTGTAACCTCACCAATTTTCGGATTTGTATAGCTACTTAATCTGAAAATACAGCATTTTATAAAAATAAAGGAAAACCTACCACATCATGTGGATAAAATCGAACTGAGGTAGAACTGGATACATGTGAATCCGTGTCACTAAAGAAAAATGAAGAAGACTTTAGGGAATAAACAGCTTGTCAAGTAGTAGAAAGAAAAATAAGTCTATTAACAATTACATGATACTTACACTGTCTACTTTTCCATGTAAAGTTCAAAGTGCAAAATCGAATTTTCCTAGAGTTGTGATTAGGAGCATAGCCTCTGGGTCAAAGTATCTATATTCAAATCTCCTCAACAACTGAATGAGATCTTGGACAAGTTATCTAACCTTTTTATACCTCAGTTTCCTCATTGGTAACATAGGATAAAAGTACCTCTATCACAGAGTTCTTGTGAAAATTGTTTAAGAAAGCAATTAACATATTGCCAGGAGCCATAATAAATTTAACCTATGATATAATAGTCTAGAACGTGACAATTCAGTTTCCACAGTTCAGTCAAATTTAGATTTCAAAACTTAAGACCTTACCACATTTATGGTGTAAGGAATTGTTCTTATCTTGAACTATATTAAACATAATAAAGTGTTCCCATTGCTCCATCCTCCTATTGCTTCCACTGCTACAAAATCATCTAAACACTCCAATCATTTTTGAGGGGGTGAATTCTGAAACTGGACTAAAGGAGCTTTATTAAAGAGTACAGTTTCTGAAATGTTCTATCTTTTAAGCATGCTAAGCTAAGTGATCACAAGACCCTATTGCTTTAAAGAGACCCTCAAAACTGAAAAAACTGCCCATAGACATGTAACATATAAATAGGCGTGTCCCACTATTAAATGGAAGTCCTAAAATAAGAATCAAATGACTCTTGTGGAAAAAAAGTGAGCTAATCAATCAACAATGAATTTCAATGCAGCAATTTGAATAGATGAGTAAGATTAAAATTTCAGAAAAAAATTTAACACATTCTAAACTATAATTGATTATGTTATACGATCAAGATTTCTATTTCTTATTTGCTTTCCTCCTAACTTCTGTTATCTTACATAATTCCTTCCTGAGGGAAGGAGAGAAAAGAAACTAAATGTAACATATGACCCATATTTTAAGAAATTCCTCCTTCTTACAGCTGTTAAACACATTTTAAAACAAAATGAAAGATAATCATTTAAAAAGACACTTGACCAAAACCCTCACACAGAAATAAAAATTTGAAATTACACAAAGAAAGAGAATTGATGGGTTTGAACTTAGCTGTATAAAATATTTTTCTAATAAGTTTTTTCCATCATGCAATATATATACATAGTTAAATTTGAAATTGCGGGAAACCACTGTCCCATGGTAAGATCTACAGGAAATTTTTACTTAATTTTTTTTAAAATACATAATAGCTTTTGTTTTAAGAATAACAGCTTTCTTTTTTTCCACAGCAAAAAATTCTACTTTAATTCTTTGGCGACAAATGCATAATGACAATTTATTTAAGCCAATATAAACAAATGTTTTCAAAATAACTTTTCTATCTCAACGCTTACAAACTTTAAAAACGGCAAACATATGCAAGTACATACACTCTCCTAATATGACTTCACACATACCAGATATTGGATGCTCTTCTTGCTGCTGGTTCAAAATTCACAAGTGACATATCACAGCCACCAGTCTCATAAAGCGTAGAAGAGAACTTACCTAGCAAATAAATGATTTTTTTAAAAAAGCCATTAGAATACTCAGAAATTTTCCTTCATGAAACACTAATTTTAAGCTTGTTACAATCTAAGAAAATGTACTATAACCTTCTTTTTCCAAAATATTTAAAAAACAATGATCTACATGTAATTCAGCATGATGTGAATTGAAAAGGAATGCTAAACAGTGGGGCAAAATGTCAACATACATAATCAGGTGTTAAAAGTGATTCAAGTCAGCTTCGTAACAGCAGTCTCCTTCTCTTTCCTCCTCCCAGCACATTCTCAATTTAAATTATAATACAAACAAACTGAATGTTGTTTAAAGGTCACCTGACCACTACTTACAAGTGGTGAGTAGCCATTTGGAGGGCTGCTTAAGTTTTAAGATAGCTCAAACTGCAAGACAACAAATTTATGTGATTACCTTCAGAGTTTTTTGGTTTTGTTTTACTTTTAAGAAGAAATGAAAAGTATCAAAATGGATCTAAGGAAGTTCAATGAATGAAGTATAATAATGTTGGTGACAAACTACAGTATTCAATGAATATCAGTAGTTGTATGATTCTACAAGAACTCTATGAAAGAATTTAGGAACACCATTTTCTGTAGCCAAGTATCTACAGAACTGATAAAAGCCTTAGAAATTTTATTGGTTGCAAAGAATACAGGTTTGAAAAAAAAAGCTCTCTTAAAATGAACTGTATAACGTAAAATGATTTCTGATAATGGAATTTTAGAAACCTGAATACTGTCTGAAATGCATGCTGTACTTTGAAGATCTATGGTAAGCCATATCAATGGTGGGTAGGGAGCATAAATAAATGAATATAAATTTCTAGCAGGACAATAAGATGAGGTATATAACTGCAACTGTTTGGATCTAGTCCAGACTGCCTTTTGAGTATTTATGAGGTTTTTGTTTTACTAGCTAGAACTACTGAGGTTATAAATATGAGAAATCTAAAGGGCAATTTCAACTTAATGACAAGGCTAAAAGATTGCTTTTCCATGACTACAGTGAAAACAGTATACAGTAAGAATGTTTATTTAAGTGAAATCCTTGAAAAATGACAATAAAAGGCCCCCGTAATATTCTAATATAACCAAGGGTTCACAGAACATTTCAACAATTACTTCTTTCGTCAAAAGGACTAGAATCAGAAAAAGTACTTTATTAAACAGGATTATTTGAGTACTTCCTATGAGTCATAATATTTTATCCTATTATGGTGTTTTCTGTAGTAGCAGTTTTTTTGGTCAAAATGCTCCTGAGATAAATTAGGGGAAAAGGCACTCTATGAAATGCTCAGCTCATTTGCTGTTTTTCCAAGAAGGATTACTGAGCATGTAGATTATCTAAAACTCCGCTTTTAACACCCCTGTCTTCTAGCCATGAGTTACTCACTCTTCGCACCTCTAACAGAAACCAGAGCACGGAACTAAAATGAAATGATAGAGTTTTTTGAAGTGACAGGGTGGGTTGCAGAAATTGTTAGTAAAGAAACAAGTTAAAAACTGCCTTGATTGAGTTAAAAATTATTTTTAAATTGTAACTTTTTATGCTGTGCTCTTTCCTTACTTATTAGCATGGATAATCAGAGATGGACAGTGCTAAAATTAGATTAGCAGAAAAAAAGAAACACCTGATCAAAATCACAGATTGCATAAATGCAGAAGAATTATAAAACCATATTAAATGACTAAATCAGAGTAACAGAGCTGGGCGGGCTTGTATGAAATCCAGTAAGAATGGAATGCATAAATATTTGTGTTTATCTCACATAATTTGTGTGTAGTTTTGAAATAAGCTAATTCTATATTCAGTAGAATTTAAATTATTGGAGTATATTCTGAGTATTTAAGCATTCCATGGGATTTTTAGTAATATAAGTCCTGTTCTTGGGATATTAAAAATAATAAATATTTATATGCAACTGAAATCAACTAAAATATTACTCTTTGTAATTTTCAAATGAAACAGTAAAAGATGATTCAGTCATTACTGCAACTATGTTGTCTTTTATGTATAGATGCCTAGTATGAAACTTATATAGAAATGGGTGCATTTTAAATAAAAATAAAACACCCCCTGCCAAAAGCTTTTCAGAAAGAAAGCTGGAAAAACTGAGTAGTTTTATTACTACATAAATCTACAACTACAACTACAAATCTAGAACTCTGAATGCATACAAACCACTGAGTAACAAGGAATAAAATTTAAAAATTTAAACAAGGCATAAAACATGTCTAAGAAAAGGGCAGTTATAATTACAACAAATGTGCATGACTTCAACAGTGCTTTTTTTTTTTCCCTAAGAAGCGTCTGTCTACCTACTAACTTTACAAACATGTCAGGTTCATAAAAACATACATGGCATATGTCAGAACAAGCTAACTTTGTATTAAGGCTTCATGGTGTAGTCCCAACTTAACTCAACCAAAAGAATAGATTCTATGTCCCTCTTACATCTTTGGGCTTGGAAGCTGACAGCACTTCAGAAGTAACAGATTTTATTCAGAAGATAATTCAGAAAAAAAAATTACACTAAAAAGTGTTTAGCTTAAGGTTTCAGAGAAAAACTTAGTAACATTTTAATATATGAATATAATAATCTACTAAAGACATCTTCAAAAATAACCAAAACAGAAATAAGTACATATTGCTATTGGTTTATAAAAATTAATAATACCTTAAATTTGTACAAATCTTCTTAGCAAACCTAACAACTTGACATATACCTCATTTGAGATTAAAACCATAATCACAGTTAACCTTTCTGAACTAATAAGTAAATGTGCCCTTATTAATAACCCTATTTTAATAAGTATTCTGTATTTAGAAAAATACTTCCATTTAAATATTATTTCTAATGAACATTAACTGGGAAGAAAGTAGAACATCAATGAAATATGTCCTCCTCACATGCATTATGATTATAAACTATCTCCTCATAATTCAACTCCCAGGTCATAACTAATTATATCTAACAGTATGGCTCTGTCATGATTTTAAAAGAAAAACATTAATTTCTGACAAAGAAGATTAGAGGCTGGATTTTCAGACTTAATAATGACATTGGCCATGATATAGCACCTCTAAGATAAAGAAAAGTTAAGGCACCTGGTATTTCTGTTTCAAATATTCAATAATGACTGCTATTGTCTTCAAAAATTCAATTTAATTACACAAAACCCTATTCTTCTTGAGGTGGGAGAATTTCCAGTAACCACAGGTCAATACGTAAGTGATGAACAAGAAGATAAGTAAAACTGAATACTGATTTAAGGAACAAGGACACTTGAAGCATTTCCCTGAAGCCACAAATTCAAAATAAACACTGGGGACTTCCCTGGTGGTGCAGTGGTTAAGAATCCGCCTGCCAACGCAGGGGACATGGGTTCGAGCCCTGGTCTGGGAAGATCCCACATGCCCTGCAGCAACTAAGCCCGTGCGCCACAACTACTGAGCCTGCGCTCTAGAGCCCGCGAGCCACAACTACTGAAGCCTGTGCGCCACAACTACTGAAGCCCGCGCACCTAGAGCCTGTGCTCTGCAACAAAGAAGCCACCACAATGAGAAGTCCGCGCACCACAGCGAAGAGTAGCCCCGCTCACCGCAACTACAGAAAGCCCGTGCGCAGCAACGAAGACCCAACGCAGCCAAAAATAAATAAATTAAATAAATAAATTAAAAAACAAAAAACCAAAATAAACACTGGCAAAACACTGGTAAGACACAGAAATTAATGAGATTCTCTAATTAGTCCTATCAATAAAAATCCTCACCACGTAGCACAAAGTTCAGTTAATATTGTGAGAAACCCTTAATGCATTCTTAATGTCACTCTCATTTCACTTATTTATCTTAGAAAGAGGTGGTTCCCAGAAGGACAAATCATCCGTAGGGTTCTTCCAATCTTCCTAGCACCAACGACAAAGAAGGCCTCTTACATTTCTTGGACGATTTCCTTCTGTAGATCCCCACCCTACAGCCCCATTCATTCTGCATTCTCCAAGCCTAAGCCTGATACACTGCTTGACTTCTCACTTTTCTAGCATTATTCTTAGCGCAAGGAAGGCCTACAAGAGCAAAGAGAGAGAGAGACAAGGGAGGCAGCTTTACAAAGTGTTTTTAGAAGACAACTGGGGGACTATACACATCTCTATGACGAACTTGAGTACTCTACAAAAAGTGTCTTTTTCTGGTGGTGATGAGTATTGTGCTCACAATGCCATTCCAATGAATACATGACACTTCTAAGAGAGAAGGCCTTGACAAGTTCCAATTTCATGGATAGCACCCCCCTTATTATGAGTGGTGCCTGCGAGTCTCTGAGGAAACATGAGTTTTCACCCAGACAGAAATGACTCATTTTACTGCTGCTTACAGGTTTATGGACCTATTTCTCCCTAGACCAGGGATCAGCAAACTCTTTCTGTAAAGGGACAGATAAATAGATATTTTAGGCTTTGTGGGCCAGATGGTCTCTGTTGCAACAGTTCGAGTTCTACCATTGTAGCGTGAAAGCAGCCACAGAAAACACATAAAATAAATATTTACTTTATTCACAAAACAAGCGTCAAGCTGGATATAGTCACCAGGCCATAGTTTGCCAATCCCTGTCCTAGACCAAAAGCCTTACTCTTATAAAATATCTTTAATTCTTGTGCTGAATGGAAATCAAGTCACTATGTTGCTCCTGTTCAATACTGACAACCAGCCCTTCTTCCTAGAACGTGCAATGCTGTGCTAGGTTTTTAAAACAGGAGAAGAATAAGAAAAAGGGTGGAAATGAGAAGAAAGAGGTTGGTTTAGAAGAGAGCTTTTGAGTACTGGTAAGAAAAGACAGATAAACTCTATTGCTTGGTAACAGTGAAAGAGATTCATATACTGATATATTTTACTGCCATGGTCACTGTTCGCTAGTTCTGACTTAACACAACATGTCAGTTCAATAAGTGGAATCCCCAGATCCCCAGATCAGGTGAACCTTCCAG